CACTACTGAACACCACTGGCCTAGAAAATTCCTCTGGCATTACATTCTAAAGTCTATAGTTCTAAATAATAACATTATCTTGATTCAACTTAACCTATAGTTTCTCCTCCAATTCCTTCTATATGCCCTGGGACTTACCCAGCATCCCATGGTGTTCTGTGGATAGAACATCTTATCATCCAGAGAGTTGCCAGGAGCAGTTAAGGAAGGGGCCAGATTGGGGATGTTGATAGAAGGGAGAAGAAAATAGAGAGAACACTGCCTGCCCACCACTGACCTGCAGATCCTCGGTGCCTGGAACCACCAACTGACTTCTCCAGGGCACCTGCCTGGGTTTATACTGTCTGATCTGGTGGGTTGGGCCTGCAGCATCTTTAAAATTGGCTCCAGGATGGGGAAGAAGAACCTGGGGATTTCACAATGTCTACAGCAAGTATGGGTAATGAGAAGGTGGGGGTATTAATGAATGTTTGTTTGCAAAAGCCCAGCGCTGGGCCCCTGCTCATAGCTACTGTCATTGACACTGTTATTGGTGGTTTGGGCCACTAGATAAACAATGCTGGGGTCAGATGTCCTCATGTTGCCTTCCCTTTGGTACCCATGGGCTCCATTCCAGGCTTAAAGGTGGCAGAGGCAAGAGGAGTGAATCCAAGGGGCCTAAGGGAAGAATGACCTCTGATGGCTGAATAGCTATCCACTCACAAGGTGCAGAAAACTTAGGTGTAGTGTTCTCTGGGGACCAATGCCTTATTGTACTTCTTCATCTCAGGACATTTGCAAAGTTCCATGCAGGGCTCAGGGAGGAAGTGGGAGAGGTCAGTCTAACACCCAGATACCTGCAGAACGAGACATAAGAGAAGATGGGCAGAAACAGGACCAGATTTCTGTTTTCTAAGGCCAGCAGTCATTCTTGACCCACTCTCTCAATCTCTTGCCCCTCTGTGTAAAGGGCCAAAGCATGGGGTATGATTCCAGGCAATCAGTGAATTCTCACTGCTATGTGACAGACATTCATTACATGGTCCCTGTTAAGTAACTTTACCGTCCAGCTGGGGAGCTAAGTCATAAACACTTGAAAAGACAATTCAGAAGACCGGACTCCAAACTGTGGGCCAAGGGCATATTGTGCTGGAGACAATACAAATAAACAGTTTCCTTGAGTGAGAAACAAAATTTATATAATTTAAGGGTCTTAGACATGATATAATGGGTGCTACAGCATCCCTGAGTAATAAGCTAAGCAGGCTCTACTTCAATACCTCCAGGGCCAGAGACCTCACAACCTCTTGGAGAAACCCTAACAGTGTGTGTGGTCCTTATGGTTAAAATTTTCAAGTCACGCAGGCAAAACAGCTCTATCCATTCACTGGTCCTGCTTGTGTGTTCTCCTACTGACAGGTCTTGGAGTGCTTGAGGAGGGTTCTTCCTGTACAGCTTTTTCAGGATATGAGCCCTCAGCACCTCTGCTGCTTCCCTGAGACATGGTCTGGGACCCTCTCTGCTCTTCAGGACACACTATTGTCCTCAGTGATGACAACTGGCACAGACTACATATGTCATGGGTATATTCCGCTGTACATACTGGCTGAGTTTGGGGGCTTGTGCTGAAATGGAAGAAATCTAAAACCATGAGACCTGTTTCATTTTAATGTCATGATGCCAGGGCCTCTGGTTCATATACTTAGCATTTTACATTCTTTCCTTTTCAATCAACATGTCAGCTTATAACCAAAGCCAAGGTTTGGCTATTTGGTGCCACAAAAGCCAAAGTCGTGAGACAGATGCTGGTGAAAAAGGAAAGAGGTTTATTCAAGTGCTAGTCACCTGGGAAGATGGGGGACTCTTGTCCATAGCCCATCCCAACATCTCAGGGCAGGCAGCATTTGTATAAGGAGGGAGAGGGAAAGGAGAACAAAGAGATCAAGGAGATGGTGTTGAAAAGTCCTCTACATGCAGATCAGTACAGTCCATTCCAATAAGGATCTTGGTCAAGTGATGGTCTGGTGTGCATCATCCTGGTTTCGCATCATCCTGGTTTTACATCACCCTGGTTTCACGTCATCTTGGTTTTACAGTTGAAGGTCAGGGATAACTGAAGGTTGGAGTCTGTATCTTCTAAAGTTAGTTACTATGATTCTTATACAAACATGCTGTTTATCTACAAGCAACATATAGAGTCAGCATTTACAGAAACAATGTCAAAAGAATGGTGGGGTGGTTGCAATTCCCCTGCTACATGCTCATCCCTGCTAAATCCCTTTTGAGTTTTATCATCCTACAAATGAAGAAGAGCCACTTCAGGCTGGAGAAGCTTCAGGAATGAAGGAATTTCAACTGCTCCCTGAGGGTGGAGCAGCTGAAATTTAGATGGAGGAGGAAAGAGAATGTTCCAGAGTAAGAAATGGCTTCCACATCCCACTCACTGGATTCCAATTGCCAAAGATTATGCAAGGTACTTGGAAACAAGCTGATGCAGCCTTGACTTTGAGGTCAAATTAGGGACCAGAGACCCCAAGTCAACTTACTACAATGAGGGGAAGGTCACATAGAGGTACACGTAAGACAATGTCAGAACAGATGACCAGGGATCTCAATTCAGCAAAAGCTCCTCAGAAGAGGTGACAGTTAGGGACCATGGCTGGGCCTGTGGGCACAGAATGTGAACTGGACCCACAGAAATAGCCTGGTGCCTGGAGCTATGTTCTCAGCACTGAGGCCTGGGAGGCTGTGGCTGAAGGTCTAGGAGGCAGACCCTCTGGCCTGATCACCCCTTGTTAGTCCTCAGTGAAACCATGCTGGTCGGACAGGTGAGGAGCAGGTGCAACACCTGGCTCAGATTTGAACCCCTCCCTGGCTTCTGCTCTCATCCCCAGGGTTTAGGTGGGAACACTGGGGTCACAGTCCTGGCACGCATGGCTGGAGGTACAAAGGTAGTCAAGGAAGAACTAAAACTTGCCGAAACAGAATATTTGGCAAATTTAATATGATCAACTTTTAAATAGAACGTTTAAGGAAGTAAAGGGGCCAACATTCACTTTGAGAAGGAAAATGAAACTATTGGAGAAAATCGAAATCACAGTAAAATAAATGCATTTACTTCTCTTCCCTGTGTATTAGTCATCTATTGCTGCCTGACAAGTGACCCCCAAAACTTAGTCACTTAAAGCACCAGGTATTTATCTTCTTGCATGGTCTTGGGGGAGGGGGGTGCCTACAGCAGCTTGGCTATGTCACTATCCTCCCAGGTTGCAGTCAGCAGCGTCATGGCTGCCTGACCAGGACTGGAGAGGCCATTTCCACGCTCGTTCACGTAGCCCTTGGCAAGAGGCTTTATTTTTTACCACCCGGGTCTCTATTGGCTGCTTACAACACACAGCTGCTTCCCCAGCTCAAGGGAACAAGGAAATGAGAGAGACCAACGTAGAAGCAGTGAGAGTTTCAGAAGTGGCGCCATGTGCCTTCTGCCATATTCTACTGGTCATAGAGAGGGCTGGTGCAATGTGGGAGGGGACGCAGTGTGTGGGCCCCAGGAGACTGGACCGTTCATTCCCCAGGGCTGCTGGGACCAATTACACAGACTTGGTGGCTTAAAACACCAGGGAAGCGCTCTCTCTCAGCTGGGGAGACTGGCAAGACAATGCCTCCTCCTGGTGGGTGCCTCGGCCACAGCGCTTCTGCCTTATTGTAGCTCAACTCCAGTCTCTGCCTCAGTCTCCACACGGCCTTCTTCCCTGGGCCTCCTGTTCTTACCAGGACAGCAGGCATATTGGGTGAGGGGCCCATCCAATACAGCATGGCCTCAACCAATTTCACCTGCAAAGGTCCTATCTCCAAATAAGGGCACAGTCTGAGGTTCCCAGAAGGATACGAATTTAGGGGGACATACTCAACCAGCACTGGAGACCCTGGGAGGCTGAATCCCACACCCTGAAATCTCAGGGACCATGGCCATTCCTGGTCAAAGTGCAGGGTGTTCTCTCTGTCGGGTCCTTCCCCAGGAGACGCCAGCCACAGGCACCCACCAGGCCCTCCTTCCCAGCCTGCTGAGATCTGACTCCCGCTGCTGCCAACCAAAGCAGCAGAAGGCAACCACCCGATCTCACTCCCGGGAAGTGGGAGCCGAGGACAACTAGAAATGATGTCTGCTCTGCTCACCTCAAAATTAATTTTTCTGATCATGACACAGGTAATCCATCTTCAGTGTAGAACAATTAGAATATACAAATAAATAAAAAGAACAACAACAAGAAAGTCACCTTAATACCAGCAGCCTGACTTGCTAAAATTGAAGTAAACTCTTGAAGACTTTCCTATATGTTTAATTAAATATGTATTTTTAATTAAAATGGAATTATAAGATATGCCACTGTGTAACTTGCTCTTCTCGCTTAATGTGTCACAAGCATGTCCATGTGAACAGACACCAGCATCTTGGATTTTAATTGTACCTTGGGTTTCAAAAGGAGTGGCTGCCTGCCCATCCTCGGTCTTCCGAGCTAGAGCCATGCCCTTGGGCACCACCACCTACTGTGCCCATGGTGAGAGCATGATGGTGGGGATGGAAAAGGCACATACGATGGCAGCTGAATTAAGGGAAGGGGAAGGAACTGGGACTTGGGTCCCTAACCCTTGACCCTGGACAGGGGTGGTGATGGGACCCCATGTGGGCAGCTGGTGGCCCTAATAGGCTCAAGTTGGGACGGGGCTGGCCTGTGGGTTCAGGGGCACTGGGCAAGGTACCATGAAGCATGAGGATTCCCACCACTCCCCTTTTTTACCTTGTGTCATTTTTGCAAGGTTCCATACCAGGAGCGCCACCCAGCAGGGAAAGAAACTGAACTAAGAGCCAAATCTAGAAGTATTTACACAAACTGAGTGGCCATGTGCTGAGTCAGTCAAGTGGGGGCCCGAGAACAGAGGAGCGTGGTCGCCTGGGCCTCCTCCTCCTCCTCCACTCACCCCTGCAGGCTCTGCCCCGGGGTCCTGGGAGGTGGGTTGCCCTAGTCACATTGCTGGAAGTAGAAGTCCATGATGGGGTGGTCCCAGCTGGCATCCCCCGGGAGCTGGCTGAGCCTGAGAGGCTGGTCTGCTTCAGGCACCGTGCAGAGGAACCAGCCCGGGAAGGCAGCCGACTCGAACCTGGAGGTGAGCCCCGTGTCCCGCCTGTAGAAGGTGAAGCCCCTGGAATCCTTGGGGCTGCGGTAGAGCTCCATAATGTCCACTGGCTGCAGGCAGAGGGCACGGCAGGCGAGGGGTGTGAGTGGAGCGGCCAGGAGGGCTGGGACGAGGGCTTGGGACACTGGGCCATAACAGAACCTGGTGGGAGAGGCGCTCAGGAGCCCGGCCCCAGGGGTCCAGCATCGGCTGCTTAGGGGAGCCCACAGGACTCACCTCTAGTTTCAGAGTCGGTTCCTGCCCCGTCCCACACGACAGGCACTGGCTCCCTCCCTGGACACCCAGGATGACTGGAGAAAGGCTGTCGTCCAGAAACCGATTGGGGACAACACTGATCTCCTCGCCTAGAGGAAGGAAGCCAGAGGCAGAGGCCTTGTCTACCTTCCCTCCCACTTCCCCTCCCCTGTTGTGGACTTTGGGGAGCAGGTCTCTGTGAGGCGTGCTGTGGGGAAAGGTGCTCGCCTGCCAGCTGGCCCGAAGACATCGAGGCACACAGCACATTGTACCACCTCCCACCCCCGCACCCACCCTCTTGCCCGCGATCAAATCCTCAAGCCTCCACCAGCCCTCACAGGACATCTGACCTCCCCCTTTAATGCCCTTCCACACTCAGCCTCTCCTCAGTGACTTGGACATTTTTCTACCCCCGGGGAGATTCCCAAGAACAGGAGAGGGTCTCAGTCCTCTGTGCCATTCCCCCCACATGCACACACGTGTGCACAGACACTCAGAGATACATGTGCGTGCACACACACAGCCTCGCAGAGGGTGTGCCTGGCCCCAGGCCAGGGGAGCCTGTCCCAGGTGGGCAGGTGAGGGCTGTTGCAGAGAGAAGGGCCTGCCGCTCACAGTGTGTGGCACAGAATGAGTAAGCACCAGGCTAGGGGTGCCACCAGCTCTCAGGGTCCTGCCACTCTGAGTAACCAGGGGTCCCCTGGCACAGAGGGGACCCAGGGCAAAGGGACAGAAACCCACCCCCTATGGGAATGAAGGCCCAGGGAGCCCGCCTGGTCCTCCCAGCACTGGCTCCCAGGGAAAGGATGTGTGGCCTAAGTCCAGCTGTGAGGGCAGGACAAAGCATTCGTCTTGGAAAACAGTCCCACCTTTGCACAGCGGCGCCCAGTGGCACTGGGACACGTGTCTGGCGTTGCAGGGAGGTGGCACTCTTTTTGTCCTTGCGAGGAGCCTGGCTTCAGGACGCCCTGGCTACTGTGTCAGGCCTGAGTCTCACAAGGCCATTCTAAGCCCTCTCAGTCCTCCCCTCAGAGCAGAGCCCTAGGGAAGAAGGGTGTGTGGCCACCCACCTTTCACGGCCTTCCCTCCATGCACCCCACCGGCCAGCAGCTGGTTATCCTGCAGATAAAGCACCTTCAATGCCGCATCCTTCATTCTGGAACATCAGGACAATGACACTCAGTCAGGGAAGGGGGGGTGTCCAGCTTGCCCGGCTCCAGAGTCCCCCAGTCCCAGGCACTGTCCCTCTCTGCCCGCTGTGCCAAAGGAATGGCACGACCTTCTTCCAGCCCCACTGGCCCCACAGCCTCCCGCTGAGTCGGGGGTTCTCTCCTTCACCCGATTCAGCCTTTCCTACACCAAGCAGCCCCCCGTGTGTCATGTTGGGAAGTCGGAGTCCCGGGTCCCCGTCCTGCTCCTGCTCCGCCACCACGGCTGCTGATTCGCAGCGGACAAGCCGCTCGCCCCTCGGCCCGCTCTGCCCGTCACAAGCTGAGACGGTGAGTTAGACACGCCCGGGCTCTCCCCGATGAAATCCCGCCCTCAGTCATCACTGAAGACATCAGGGGCTTCTGCTCGGCCACAGATGCCCTGCTACCGTCAGGATGTCTTTACATGTAAAATGCTTTCCTTTTCCTTTTCACATGTGCTTCTCATCTGTGAGCTCAGCTGATTCTCTGGTGTCCCGGGAGGTGATGGTGTGTCCAGCGGGGGTTCCCCAGATGTCACGTGGAATAAAGTGCACCGTGTACACCTGGCTCGGTGTCAGCTAAATATGGACAAATCTCTGCCTCAAAGTTCCTCAGATGCTTCCACTCATAAGGAGCCATAAGGAGCATGTCCCACCCTCACTCTATTGGGGAGCCTCCTGTGTACTGGGCTCCACGGAACACACTTTGGGAAAAGCTGTAGAGGCTCTGAGTGCAGCGAGAGCGAGGACGAGTGTCATTCACGCTACGATGTCCAGAGCACGGCCGAAGGCCCGGTCAGCGCACGCCCGAGGGCAGACAGGGTGCCTGACAGTCGTCTTGCTGTGGTTGTTTTGTCCTGAAGGCAGCAGGGGCAGTGGGGCAGGGACCGGGATGCCAGGCCACGCGCTGGGCATGACAGCAGGGCTCAGGCGGTCTCCTGACTTCCTCTCAATATGGACGCAGGAGGCTGCAGCTCCACAGATGGGCCCCCCCCCCCGTCCCTCTGCCCACAGAGGAGCCCCCTGAGGGGCTGCCCGACCTGTCTTAGGCAGCGGGGGGCTGTTCACAATGGCCCACTGCCCACCCCACTTGGGGAACTGCAGCTCTGCTGGGCCAGGCCCGTCCCTCCCGGAAAAGGCTGGCCAGCAGGCACCTGCGCTGTCCCCCAGGACACGGCCAACCCCGAGGCTCAGATACTCACCGGAAGCACAGGGCCCCGCTCAGAACCATCCTGCCCTTCAGCGTGCAGAGCGGACGTCCTGTCGTGAAATAACTGGTGTTAGGAGGAGACAGGCTGAGCTGGCAGGGGCCTGGGGAGCAGGCAGCTTCTGACCCCCAGCATGTGAGCAGCCCCCACAGAGCAGGGGATCCTGGTCTGGGGTCAGGAGAGAACCCCAGTCCTGATGGGAGGATGGACTGGGCTCCTGGGGACACCTGAGAGCACTCCCTACTCCCGCGGAGCCACCGTGTCTGCCTGCTCCTGTGGGGACCAGGGCAGCACGGATGCCTGGCCTTTAATAACATGCCAGGGAGGGGCCTGAAACTGCCCCAGACAGGACGAGCAGGGTTCTCCACATGGCTTCACACCCCCCTCTCTCTCCCAGGGAAGGAAAGTTCTGGAGACCGTCTTCCTCCCAGCAATTCTGAACATTTCCGGGGTTTCTGGCTCCCCCTGAACACTGGGTTCCTGGACCTCAGGCCCTTCCAGACCCAAAGGTGTCAGTGCAGAAGCAGCTCAGGGAAAGTAGACTAACAACCCCCCCTCCCTCCCTCTCTCCTTACTTCCTCCCTTCCTCTCTTCTTACCTCCCTCCCTCCCTTCTTCCTTTTTTACCTCCCTCCTTCCCTCCCTCCATCCCTCTCTTTCTCTCTTCCTTCCCTCCTCCCCTCAATCCCCCAGGCCTGTGGAAGGTGCTGGAGGTGGAGCTCTCCTGCTTAGATGTTTAAGTCTGCATATTCATTGTAGAAAAACTTGAAAATCCAGGTCAACAAAGAAGAAAAACGTGTGCCTTGTCTTGGCTACCAGAGCACAACCAGAAACCCCATGCGCACAGCTTTTGCCCTGCACACGGGGAGCTGCCCACGGCCTTCACACGCCTGTATCACAGGCCCTACCCTCCTTTCAACCTGCTGCTCATGTAGCAAAACCCCAGAGTACCTTGCCATACCCAACGCAAATAATGATGTCATCGCATTCAAAACTGTTTAGTATTTAATTGTATAGATGCAGCATCAGGTACTTATAGTAATCAATCATTATTAGTCCTTTGTATTGTTGCTATTGTCATTTGCTATTGGAAATCATGTTGTGACAAACATATTTGTATCAGCTTCTTGGCTCATTTGTCTGACGATTTCCTTAGGAAATAAAATCTATCCCATGCTCTCTGTGATTGATCTTTCTTCAGTCCCTAACCGGTAAAATAATATGTGATTGTGTAATGATTCAGGCAGTGTTCACTCATCCATACACACTCTGTTATCGATCTGAATGAAAGGTAAGAGTCCAAGCGTAATAATAAACAGTTTAATTATGTCTTGAGTACCAGTGGTAATCATTGACTGTTAAGGCATAATTTTTTTTAACTGTGTTCAGGCTTATGGGCTAAATGATCCTTAAAGTACAGGATCCCAGGATAAATAAAACATGAAGTTGTTCAAAAGTTAGAAAATAATCTTCTATCATTCATGTAGGACCCCTAATGTGATAAACCCCTTTCAGAAAAATAAAAGGTGTAGAGGTAACCTTATTACAAAATTATTAAACTGACCGAACCAAAATGACGCTAAAATAGTGCAAAAAGTAATAAAACCAGAAAGAAATTCCGGAAGGCTTTGGTCTATAGGCAAAGTGACTTGAAGCAAACAGGCTTTTGTTTGCAAAGTGACTATAGAGAAGTGGACATTATTTCACCTAAAAAGGTAAAATGCCATCTGCCCAGGCTGCCTGCTCTAAGCCCGGGCCCCAGTGAATGGCACCGTGTACCCAGGACATGCCACGGCTTCACTCTCTTCCCTTCTCCTGCCTAGAAAGGAATGACGCCAGTGCTGGCCTCGCCTGCAGAGGGGGTTCCCCAAAGGCGCTGCAGGGTCTCTGCCTGCGCTGTCTACCCTGCAACGAGACTCCATGGAGACAAATACAATGAATGGGTGAGCTAAGAAGGTGGAGGTGAGGAAGATAAAACAAACCCCCTGTTAAGAAAAGTTCTCCAAACCTGAAAAAAGACAAAGTGATGGTTGTGCATGCCTTCAGTGTCGTACTGGAGCGTGGTCAGGCAGCCCCACCAGAAATCACTCAGCTCTCTAGGAAGCACGCACCTTTGTTGGACTTGTTACTTTGGATTAGATTCCAGATTCTGTGACGTTAGATTTGAACTAAGAGAAGATTGACCATTTGCACATTATTGTTGCCTGATAGAAAGATAGCCCCAAAGGGTGCAGTCTTACTGCCTTGCAATTTAAGCAGGTTGTGTGTTTTTTAACCTAAGTTAGCTAAACTATTCTCTCCCTCTGTTCCTGACTTCTCTTATTTTTTAAAAAAACTATGTTTTTATTGATTTCAGTGAGAAAGGGAGAGGGAGAGAGAGAAACATCAACAATGAGAGAGAATCATTGATTGGCCGCCTCCTACACACCCCACACTGGGGATCAAGCCTGCAACCTGGGTACATGCCCTGGCTGGGAATAGAGCCATGACCTCCAGGTTCATAGGTTAATGCTCAACCACTGAGCCACACTGGCCAGGCCTGACTTATCTTTTAAATCGGCTTTACCATCCTTCATTTATTAATCATGATAAATCTTTGACACGTGCTCACTATGTGCTTGTATGGGCATCATGTTTTAGACTTTGTGAAAATTAAACTGGCACTACCTATGACAATGTTATTTTGCCCCAAATTCACACACCCTGCGTGGTGGTTTTAAAATGTGTCCACACATTCTGGGATACTCTACCTTCAAGAGGTGGAGCTTGAGTCCCTTCCCCTGAGAGTAGGGAGCTTGGCAACTTGCTTCTGAAGAACATGCTGATCATGTTCATAAAGGCACTGCAGCCCCCTGCTTGCTCTTTCTGGGATCACAAAATCAGGCTCTTGCTACCTCATCCTTTGGCCACCTGTGCAGGACCCCCAGGCCACGAAGGCCTTTGCTCCCACCTCAGGGCCTTTGCACTGGCTGTTTCCTCTGCCTGGAAAGCTCTTCTCCAAGATACACACAGGTCTCACCTCTTTGCCTCCTTAAAGTCTTGGCTGAAATGTCACCTCAGTGAGACCGACTTGCCTTCCCATGCCTCTCCTCCTGCTCCCACATCCCTCACTGTGCTCTGCTTCTCTCCAGACCTCACTATTCGCATATTGTATAACTCAGCTGAGTATTGTGTGAACTTGTGATAAATATTATTCACCAGCTCCCAGCCTGGCTGTGCTGGAAGTAAGCTCACAGGTGGGGGGCTTGGGGGGGGGGTGAGGGTCCAGTCTGTTTCGTTCAGGCATGGAAGGTAGTGCCTGGTGTGCAATCTGTCTTCAATAAATAATGTTGCATTGACCTGAACGAACTGTACACTATCACATGGACAAGGCCAGAGAACTGTCAACATTTTGTTCACAATTATGATTTTATTTCTCAGACAGCTTTGATGCTTTTGGGTCCTCACCCTCTTAATGTAGAATTAAGACCATGGGTGGACACACTGTGGCTCGTAGGCTAAGACAGGGCCCACTGTTTTATAAATGAAGTTTCATTGGAATACAGCTAACACAGCTGAGCTCATTTGCTTACATAGTCTATGGCTGCATAGGTGCAACAATGGCTGGGTTGATGTTTGTGACAGAAACTGCATCATTGGCAAAGCCTAAGGTAGTTAGTACACAGCCCTTTAAAGAAAAAGTTTGCTGAATGCTGGTCAAGACTATCCTGGTTCAAGTCCTGAGTCTGTCACTTTATTAGCATGTGTCTTGGGTCAAGTTATTTAGCCTTTCTGTGTTTTGCAGTTGTCTGTAAAATGGAGACAGAATAGTACTTCCTCAGGGGTTGTTGTTAAGATTAAGTGAGTTGCCCTGGCCAGTTCGTCTCAGTGGTTGGAGCCTTGGCCCATGTACTAAAGGGTCACGGGTTCAATTCTGGTCAAGGGCACGTGCCTGGGTTGCAGGTTCAATAGCCGGCCCTGGTAGGGGCATGTGCAGGAGGCAACCAGTTAATGTGTCTCTCTCACATCGATCTTTCTCTCGCTCTGACTTTCCCCCTCCATTCCACTCTCTCAAAAAAAAAAAAAAATCAAGGGAAAAACTATCCTCAGGTGACGATTAACAATAAAAAAAGATTAAGTGGGTTGTGTGAAGTGTGTAGAGCAGTGCCTGGCACATAGTAGGGGTTTAAATGTCAGCTAGATCATCATCGTTGTCACCATCAGCTGTGTGGCCTTGGGAAGCGTGCTTCATCTCTCTGATTTGATGATTTCTCTTGCCTTGTTTTTGTCTCTCCCTAAAGAGGACAGTACTGTCCCACTCACTGGGCTGTCGTGAGGCCAGGATGAGTCAGAGGCGGTAAAGGGCAGGGTCAACACTTAGCACAAACCCACAGTCACCTGCTCCCTGCACCCCATGTGTCCCCTCCTCCTGCACTCCTCCCAGGTGTGTCAAGAAGACACTGAGAACGTGGCAGAGACCAGGTTCACATTGACCTAAATCTGAGGCTGGTTCAAGACCAAACACTTGCTAACACATCTCGCCAGCCCCAGAGGGGGAGGAGGCCGGCTCGCTGGCTGCAGGACTGCGGCATATGCGGTGGGGCTTTCAGATTACTCACAGGGAAGGCTATTGTGTGCGCACACTCACTGGCAGGCACTCGCTCAAAAGTGGTGCCAATGCTGTGCCACAATGTGCGAGGTACGCGCTATTCTCGTCCCATTTCGCTGATGAGACAAAATGAGATGTGGAGAGAGTAAGTCACCCAAGGTACAAACAAGTAACAATGGAGCTGGTGTTGGAGCCCTGGCAGTTAAATTCCCCACTGAGTCACCCCACTCCCCACTGCGAACAAATACACCATGGTAAGCTCAGAGATTCAAGCAGCAGAGGGTGAGGCAGACTGGCCGACCTCCCTGCCTGGAGTCTGTGTGCAGGAAGGACCAATGGCTCCCTGAAGACAGGCTTCAAGAAAGACCATGGAACCAACAGAATTGGGCCAGAGACAGGCTCCACCAAGACAGAGTGGCCACCTCAGGGCACAGAG